TTCTTTGCTGTCAATGGCTTTTAGAATTTAAACCTACTTGGTAATCTCTGGATCAAAGGGTATAAACTATTTAGTCACTTTTCTGGCATAATTTCAAATTGTTTTCCATAGTTTCACTAGCAGTGAATTAGCATGATTGCCTTTCTATATCCCTAAAAACAATGAGTTTTCCAATCTTTTAGCATCTTTGCTAGCTTAATAGGAATGAAGTGATATCTCAAGGCTGTTTTATTTTATTTATTTATTTTTTTGCCTTTTTTTGGTGAGGCAATAAGAGTTAAGTGATTTGCCCAGGGTCACACAACTGGTAACTGTCAAGCATCTGAGGCCGGAATTGAATTCAGGTCCTCCTGACTCCAAAGCCAGAGCTCTGTCCACTGTGCCACCTTAACTGCCCCTTCAGGGCTGTTATAAATTGTATTTTTTCTAATTATTAATGATTTTGACATTTTTTTTCAAGGGGCTATTGGTATTTTTTGTTTATTTCTCTCTTGTCTCCTTACTATAGTTAGTATCGTTTTTGTTCAGTCATTTTTCTGTTGTGACTGACCCCATTTAGGATTTTCTTGGCAAAGATACTGGAGTGGTTTGCCATTTCCTTTCCAGATCATTTTACAGATGAGGAAACTGAGGCAAATAGGGTTAAGTGACTTGCTCAGGGTCACACAACTAGTAAGTGTCTGAGGCCAGATTTGAACTCAGGAAGATGAGTCTTTCTGACTCCAGGCCTGGAATTCTATCTACTGGGTCACCTAGCTGTTCCCAAGCATCTTTAGTAATTTATAAAATAATAATGGAGATAGTGGGCATCCTTGATTTACTCCTGATCCTATTGGAAAAGCGTTCAGTGTTTCTCCATACAAATAATGATGGCTTTTGAATTTAGATGGATACTATTATAGTAAGGAAAAATTCTTTTATTCAGTGTCTGGCTTTTGAGTGTTTTTACATAATTGAGTGTTCTTCTGTCTGCTGATATGAGCATGCTGTTTTTATTATTTTTGTTACTAATAAGATTAATTATGTTTTTAGTATTCCCAGGATTGAACCATCTTTGTATTCTTGGTAAAAATCCAACACAGTCATAATGAATAATTTCAGAAATATATAGTTATAGCCTCTTTGTTGATTTTTTCCATCCTCACTTTGCCAAACCTTAAAGCTCTATAAAAATATCAACTATTGTTATTATTAGTGATGTCACATTATTAGCTGTAGGTATTATTATTGCTTTATATCTTCCTACTTTGATTATCAAACTGTATGTGTTTCATAAAATGAGCTTGGTAAGATACTGGTTTTCTGTGATTTTGCTAATAGTTTACATAGCATAGGAATTGTTTATTCTTTACATATTTGCTATTATTCACTTGTAAATTCTGGGGAGCTCCCACATTCTCCACCCTTGGACTTTCTGACCCTTCTGAGTATTTCTCAGGGGCCCTTCACTCTTACTTCCTCCAGACCCAGAACCTTGTAGTCTACATATGTGCCTGGCCTGTGTCTGGTCACACTGGAAGACAGCCCTGCACTTATGATGGCTTGGTTGATAGCTTTCCTTTCCTGTTGCCATAGGCTTCTGGCTTACTTTTTGTGCAGTCCTACTATTGAAAAAAAGTCATTTACTGTAGTTTTTCCATTGTGTTTCTCTTTCGTTAGTCTGTCTGGTAAGAACTTCAAGATTTTGCTGGAGTAGATAATGGGAACTGGGTGGTCTGCCTCAGATTCAAGAAGCTTCTTTGAGAGTTCCTACTTTGGGGCAGCTAGGTGGTACAGTGGATAGAGCACCAGCCCTGGAGTCAGGAGGGACCTGAGTTCTAATCTGGTCCCAGACCAGACTAGCTGTGTGACCCTGGGCAAGTTACTTAACCCCAATTGCCTCACAAAAAAAGGAAAGAAAATAGAGAGAGTTCCTATCTTTTAAAGCTCAATTCACATACTGCTTCCTTAAGGAGGCTTTCCCTGATTCCCCTCATCCTCCATCATTATGACTCTTTTCCCCCTCACGTTTTAGGTGGCACTTGCTTGGACCCCTCTGATGTTATAATGTACTTAGCACTACAGTTATTTGTGTATGAGATTTGATCTGGCTTTGGACTATATGCTCTTTGAAAGCAAAGACAATCTCCTCTCTCAACTTTATATCTTCCTGGGTTGCTCTACACACAAATGGATCAATCAGTCAAGCAACAGGCATTTATTAAGCATTTAATATTCTCCAGCCAAATGTTTGTTGAATTGAAGACTCAGTCCCTGCTGTCAAGGGGCTTGTGAACTAGTTTAGGATTAAAGCATTAACTTTATTTTTGTCTCAATGCCCATGATTTTTTTTTTATTGCCCTGTAACCAAAGGTGAATGAGAGGATTCTTCAGACAGTGAAGCAATATCCAATTTGTCCATAAATAAAACGCAAAAACCAGAGCCACAGGTCGTCAGTCAAAGCTAGATGAAATGGGCTTGGATAAAGCATGGGGCACAGCCATACAAATGTGCCCAGGCATGCTGTGCAGCCCTGAATTCGGGTTCCAGGTTATCTCATCACCTTTCACAGGAAACAGCATCATCCCTAACGTCTTCTTTGTGTGGAAAGGAGCCTTTGCTACCAGAACAATAAGCCTACTTACTAGGGCTGGGGAAAGGAGCCTTTGCCTTTAAACCTGAGATAGTAGTGGAATGGGTTGCCAAGTATAACCTCTTCTGCAAAAAATCCCACACCCTATTACAGGATTCAGCCAATCTGCAGGAATGTGCTTATTCAGGTCCACAGAGCCAACAGGTTTGATCCATTCCTCCAAGGAGTTCCCATAATACTATGAGAGAGATGGCTGGCACTACTAAAGGGGGTTCAAGAAAGATATCTCAATCCTCCTGACCTTTGATTTAAGGTGTGTACATGTGGACATACAAATACATACATTCATGGACATAAACATGTTTCCTTGTTTGGACATGGTCCATCATTCACCAGAATATGGAAACATTTGGTTTCCCAAAGAAAAGCCAAGTAGTTATGCAATATGGAAAACCAGTCTATAAATCTTCCCATTGACAGCATTCCTTTCTATAATTGGAGGGCTCTTTGTAGGATTGAACCTTCCTTAAGGAAACAAGAAATTCTACTTTTCTCTACCTCTCCTTGCTACCTTGCATCCCAGTTATGTAAAGATTAGAGGAGCTGGCCTGACAGGAAGGCAGACTAAAGAAAGACTCCCTGTACTCCAGAAAGGTACCCCACAAGGAAATGCCTGCTCCATACCATGGAGAAGTTTAACACCATACCAGCATCGATATTTGGCTATGATTCATCCAGTGCAATTCAACAAATATATGTTAAATTCCTACTACCGTGATCATTACAAGGTCTCCAAAGACTCTTCCCACTTCCAAAAAAAAAGGGTCCCCACCTTCAAAGAGCTTATTTTTTCCCTGGAGGGACACAACATATATAGAAATAAGTAGATGCAAAATGCCCTGGCTCTGCTACTTGTTAACCTTTTTACACTGGATTTTTGGGGCCTTAGTTTCTTCAGTTGGAAAATGAGGGGGCTGCACAAAATGAGTTTTAAGGTTCCTTCCAGCTCTTTGTCTCCAATACCCTGGACTTTTTGATTGTTTCTTGTACCTTTATAGAGTCAGTTTGGTGTACATCCATCAACTAAATAACTAGGACAAGAGCAACAATGGTCTCTGCTCTCAAAAAGTTTGCATTCATCTATGGAGAAATTCTGTACACAAGCAAATACAAACCAAATGCAGGTAGGTGGCATATGTGGATAATGCCCTGGACTTGGAGTCACTTATAAGTTGTGTTACCCTGTGCAAGTTACTCTCTGCCTCAGTTTCCTTATCTGTAAAACAAAGGGGTTGGACTTAATGATGTCTAGGATTTCTTTTTGCTCTAAATCTATGATCTTATGTAAAGTAATTTCAAAGGTTGTAAAGTTATTTCAAAGACTTGGGTGGGAGAGAGATTCTGCTTTCTGTTGCAGGGATCAGGAAAGGTTTCTTGGAAGAGATAGCCCTTTTACTGAGCCCAGGAGGATACTTAGGGTTCTAAGAGGCATAGATACAAACTTCTCCCCATGCCTAGAATGCCTTCCCTCTTCCCCTCAGCCTCTTGGATCCCCATTTTCTTTCAAAACTCAACCAAAGTGCGGCCTTCTACATGAAGCCTTTCCTGATGTCTACCCTCTCTCCCCTCTTCCAGTGGAGAGCTCCCTCCCTCCCCAAACTACCTTGTATTTATTTTGTCAGTATTCTCTGTGTACTTATATAGATGTATGTTGTCTCCTCTGTTAGAACATAAGCTTTTTGAGGGGAAGGACAGTTTGACTTTTGTCTTTGTATCATCAGTACCTCGAACAGTGTCTGACACATGGCAGGTGTTTAGTAAATGCTTGTTGGTTAGTTAGGGGCAGATGAGCAGAAGGACACAGACAATGTTATAATGAGACGATATGTGAGCCTTGCTATGAAAAAGATGGTGAACCTCCCTTCATTCTTTGCAGAAATGGAATACTAGGGTTTGGAACATCGAATAAACTGCCAGACTCAGTAGTTGTGTTGGTTAGTTTTGCTGAACTGTTTTTTTTCCTCCTTTTTTCTTCTTGGTTTCAAGGCTTGGATTGCTGGGTCAGGGGAAGGGGAAAAGACTTTTTTTTAAAAAGATGTTGATATAAAAACAAAAATCAATGTAATTTTTTTTAAAGAAGGAAAAAAAAAAGTTGTTAAGAGAAGGGATGATTCTCAACTGGGACCTGAAATTCCTGAGCTCACTTACCAGGTTTGCCTTTGATGTCCTGTGCGGTAAGTAGTCTTCTGGTCTATCAGATGACCATCTTCACTTCTTTCCCATTGAAAGTCTAGTGTGGTCTCCCTTAGCATTCAGCAATGCTTTGATGTCCAGAGATAGAGAGGGCACAGATTGTTGTTTCTTCTTTCCTGCTCCCACCATTTCCTCTGGGGTCTGGTTAATGCTGTTCTTTTCCTTTGCTTTCAGCCGGCCATGCCAACTCCCCTACCCGTCGATGCAGCAGCACAGCCCCATGTCCTCCCAGGCCTCCTCCATCAGTGGTCCGCTGCATTCGGTCATGCCTCCTCCCCTGCCATTGGCCATGTTGCCCCAGCAGCCTCCGCCTGCCACTCCCCCAGGCCAGCAGCTTGGCCCTGAAGCTTTTGCCATTGTGGAGCGGGCACAGCAGATGGTGGCAATCCTATCTGAGGAGAACCGGGTGCTCCGCCAGGAAATTGAAGGATATTATGACAAGGCTGACAAGCTTCAGAAGGTATGTATTTGACTTTTTGGAGGAAGGGGAGAGGAAATGTTCTTTGGCATGAGAGTATGGGAGGGGGGCCATTATTTATCTTCTTACTGAGAGGCAGTGTAGTGTAATGGAACATTTGGAATAAATCAGATCCTACCTCTGACACTTATACATGTGTGGTATTGCTGTTGTTTAGTCACTTCAGTGTGTTTGACTCTTCATAACCCCTTTTTTTGGGGGGGGGTCTTGGCAAAGATACCAGAGTCGTTTGCTATTTCCTTCTCCAGCTCATTTTATAGATGAAGAAACTGAGGCAAACAGGAATGACTTTCCCAGGGTCCCACAGCTAATGTCTGAGGCTGGATTTGAACTCAGGTCTTCCTGATTCCAGGTGACTGCACCACCTAGCTACCCTTATTACCTGTGTAACTATGAGCAAATCCCTTCATATCTCTGGACATTAGTTTCCTCATTACTGTAAAAATACTGTGATATCCATCTCACTTGGCAATTGTTGTGAGATAATGAGATGATTTATGGGAAATGTTTTACATAGCCTATGCAAATACCAGTCATTATTACTGAAGATGATCAGTTGTTTTTCTAAATACTAGAAACCCAAATTTCTCAAACTTAATAGTTAGTGAGTCCTGAGAGAGTCATCTGGTGCCTAAAACCTCAACTTTGCAGTCAGCTGACTTGAAGAAAATTCCTTCTCTCTGTCCCTGGTTCCCTGGGCTAACTCTCAGAATTATAGACTATCTGAGCTCAGTGGCATCGAGGCTAGAATGTTAGATTTGGAGGAAGGAAGACCTGAGTTCAGGTCCTTCCTCTGTTACTTATTAGCTGTGTGATCCTGGGCAAATCACTTAATTTTGCTGAACCTCAGTTTCCCCATCTGTAAAATGGGGGTAATAGCATCTATCTCACGGGGCTATTGTGAAGATTGAAGGAGATAAAATATGTTGAAGTGCTTTGCAAAACTTACTTTAGAAGAGACCTTCAGAGATCATTCAGTTCAACTCATAAATTTTAAAGAGGAAAAAGTTATGGACTAGAAGGGTGAGGTGATTTTTCTAGGCTAGCACAGCTAGTAAGTGGTAGAGTTGGACCTCAAACCCAGGTCCAGTGGTCTTTCCACCACACTACAGTTCTTCCCCTAAGCAGTCGTTCTACCTAAATGAACCCTCACTTTGTTTTCTTAAGACCACAGTTCTGGTCTTAAGAATCAAAAAAACTTAGATTCAAGTCCGAGTTCAAAGACTCATCTGTTTTAGGATCTTGGGCAAATCACTTAGCCTTCTCAGAGCCTAAGCTGCCTCCTCTGTAAAATGGGATGGTCATTCTTACACTGTGTGCCTCTTGGAGTCATGAAGAAACTCTTTGTAAAGCCGCAAGTGCTACATCTGTGTTAACTCATCTTGTCCAGTGTGCACAGGTATTTATAGATTCAGAGAATGGTTGAGCTGGAAGGGACCTTAGAGGCCAAGCCATTCATTTTTTCCCCCAATTCAACACATATTTGTCAAGCACCTACCATTTGCAAAGTGTTGTGCTAGGCACTAGTACCACAAATACAAAAGCTCAAAAGCCTGAGTTTAAGCAGCTTACATTAAAAAAATTAGTTTTTAATATCACCTTCACTTCTGGTTAAATCTACTCCCTCACCCAATGAGCAAAGAATAAAAAAGGAAGGGGGGGGGAAAAGCATTTCGTCTCAACCAACCAACACTTCAGTCAAGTCTGATAGTATATGCACTGTTCCACACCCATGGTCCCTACATCTGCAAGGAAGGGTTATTTTAGTGAGAAAGAAACTGAGGCCTAGATAAGTAAAGTGATTTGCCTAATTTTATATAATTCTTTAGTAGCAGAGGGAGAACTAAAAACCAGGTTTCCTAACTCCTATTGCAGTGGTCTTTTGCTTGCCTGAATAAGCCATTGCCAAGCTGAGATTTTACTTTGACACCCTGTGTACAGCACATTTTTATGTGTTGCAGGTGGAGTTGGGGAAGTAGAGGAAAGACAGAGGTCTAGAGTGGTAGACAAGTGTTATTTTATAGCTTCAAAGAGGAGGGGCCACTCAGGCTCCTTGAGTTGGGGACTGACCTTATGGACATGACTGTGAGATAATCAAACAGACCTAAGAGTCTTATTGAAAGCCTGCCTTTGACTTAGGAAGAAAATAGAGGACATTTGTAACTAGAGACAAGGACAGAGACCAGTACAGGTTACTCTTTCCAAAAGCCATTGTCAAGTGGGTACCTTGACAGTTAATCCATTTAACTGGCCTGTTTCTTTTCCTGCTGGACATTTATTTCAAGCTTGGACGACAGGTGAAGTATTGAACTTGTATTGATTGAAGCAGGTTGTTTCTTTCTGATCAGGACTTCCATAGAAGAGCCATGTATATGCTGAGTGCCTTCAGATGCCTCAGACTGAGTCTGGAGCTTTCCCCATGATTGATGGTCCAGTATAGGCATTCCCAGCCCACGTATGCGCTTTTCGTGCTCATATGGGCATGACTGTTATGGTGTCTGGGATTTCCACATGAGTGTGGTGAGGCTGGGCTTGGCTCCAGTCACTGTGGCTAGTTTTGGTTGGAGGGAAGAGGAAGGCACTTAATGATCCAGAGGCAAATATGGACCATCAGATAATGGTAGCATCCCTTAAATGTAGTCATGTGGCTTTCTAAATGCTGTTGCTGTCACATGACTTTTGGTCAACCCCCTCTTCAGGCCTTAGCTTGCCTCTGAAAACTCTTGGGTTAGGGCCTTTGTTTAATGCAGCCTGAGATTAGTGAAGGACTGTCTCAGCCTTTTCCAGGAAACAAGTATTTCTTTCTTTCCCCTAATAATGATCTGTGGCAGATAGGCCTTGCATAGACCCATCAGAGGGTAAAATCTGCCTCTGGATCTTTTGACATGGAATGTGGTTGAATGATTACAGGGAGGGACCACGTGTTGAGGGAGCTTCACACTCTTTCTTCCATGGTCTATGACTCACAGTACAAGCCAGAGCAAGTCACTTAACTTCTTGGTGACTCAGTTTCCCTATACAGCACAATGGGACAAGTGTGGGTAAGGGGGTTTTGAAAGCCTTGGCTGATAAATATGTTGTCTAGTCAGTCTGGTGTAGTGGGAAGAACATGGGATTTGGTATCAGATCACCTGGTTTTGAATCTTAGCCTTATACCTTATTTAGCTTTTACCTTTGGCAAGTAAGTCCCTTCCACTTTCTGAGTCTTAGTTCCCTAAGCTCTAAATTGAGGGGGTTAACTAGGTGATCACTAAGACTTTTTCTAGTTCTTGATTCCCATGAAATAATTAAGTTCTTTTGTTTCATCTCCCAAGCTTTCTCAGCCTCTTGCCTTCTCTAAATGCCTGTATTTCATTGACTTGGCAAATGGGCCAAATTGAATTTTAGAAGTCAAGTTTTGACTTGTCCTTGGCCTGGTATTGTTGCTATCAGCAGCTGCAGCCCAGAGGCTCTGGAGCTCTTCCTAGCCTGTCATTTAAGTAGCTTCCAATGGATTGAAATCATTCTAGTTCCACCCCTTCCCCTTTCAGAAATGCATGAGAGGTATTGTACTGAAAGTCATGGGGTCATAGATTTAGAGCTGAAAGGGACGTTATACATTGAATCCAACTCCTTCATTTTACTGGCGATGGAACTGAGGCCCAGAGAGGTTAAATTAGAATGCTAATTAGTGTCTTAAGTTCTTTCTGACTCTAAGCCCAGCACTCTAGCTATACAATCGAGTGTAGGCTTAGCAGACCACAGAATTTATCTGGAGAGCCTCAAGTAGGACTTTATAATTCAAATAGAAAGGTGGAGACAGAAGGGGAAAGAAGGAAGAAGGGCAGTTTTGGGGAGGAACATGAGTAGTTCAGTTTTGGGCATGTTGAGGTTGAGGGTGCCATTGGAATATTCAAGGAGGAATTTGGAAATCATAGAATCTGATCCAACCTGTCCTGGAAGAAGTGTTTTCTTCACAGCATCCCTAGGAAATAGTCCTCCATTTTCCCCTTGAAGATCTCCAATGAAGAGGAGCCTTTTACCCTTTGAGGCAGCTCATTTTATTTCTACTACCTACTGATGTGAAGATTAATTTAGAGGACACCAGGATCTTCCTAGAAGAGATCCATCCACTATGTCTCTGAGTCTTCTAGTCAAACATTGGCAAACTGTTGACTATTTGGACCAAAATGATCATCCTTCCAACTCCTCATATTATATCTAGGTGACATGCTATAAAATGGCTTTAAGGACATGTGTAAGATCTCTGGCTCCTTTATTGCTAAGGAGCTCTGTTCAGTTTCTAATTAGTTAGGAAAACCATGAATCATATTACAGCCAGATTAAATAGGAAAAGGCAGTTTAGTGTGGTAGATAGGGCACTGGAACTGTAATCAGAGGAAAAAAGGTTCAAATCCTACTTCATACACTTAGCTGTGAGCCTGAGTAACCTAACAATTCTGCCTTTGCTTAAAACCTTCTATGTTTTGTCATCTGTAAAATGAAGGGGATGGATGGACTCAGTGACTTGTAAGGTTTCTTTGAGCTCTAAATCTATGATTCGATAAGAGCGGGGAGGTGGAGAGTTAAATGCTCTTTGTTCTGGAAGTGTTTGGAATATGATCCTGAATAAATATTGACAACCCCCCCCCAAAAAAAACCAAAAAAACCAAACCGAACACTAGACATGACTAAATGAGTTAGGAGAGACTCTTTGAAAGTTGAATTCAGTGGAAGATATTATTCCAGTTGTGTTCTATCATGTAGAAAAAAAAAAAGGAATACTGAAACTTGGTACCCAGATCATTCCAAAGTTCATAAAAGACAGTCCTTTTCTTCACAATGTCTTATGGTTGAGTATTTTTTTTTCCTGCCCCAACCTAGTCCACAGGATTCCCAAGAGATTTTGATTAGAACTGCATTTTATATGCAGGCCAAAATTATGTTTAGCACTAAATTCTGCAAATTGCGAAATGAACTTGATCTATGAAAATTTACTAGGT